ACATATATATATACATACATACATACATATATACATACATACATACAGGGGTCTGAATACTTTCCGTACCCACTGTACATTGATGAGCATTCAAAAGCTACTAAAACGTCATTCATTCTTTGACAGAACTTTAACTAATGTCCAGCATATTGCTCCAACTAAAGGATGATTTTTTTCCGAGTTAAACGATTAGTCATTTGGTCAATAAAAGGTCAGAAAATAATGAAAAATGCCCTTCTCAATCAATCCAGAGCCCAAGTTGACGTCCTCGTCCTCGTTTGAAACCAGAAAATATTTTCACTTGAGAAACTAGAGCCAGAATTGACATTTTTCTGAAGAAAAAAACCCATAAAAACTATGAATCAATTATGAAAATAATTGCCAACTAATTTTCTACCAATTGAATAATCGAAATCGAAAGTGCTGCAGCTCTTGTCCAATTAAAAAGTCAAGCTAGAGGAATACAGAGTAGGGTTACGAATATGATAACAGAGAATATGACAGAGAGATTGTACAACAGATGTTAGAGTGCTCTGTTTTGAAGGTTTTAATTCAGGAGGAACTAAGTGCTGCCTGACAGGTAAAACTGAGGGACTTGGTGTGGATGCGCATGATGATGACGTGTGGCTACATGCGACGATGAGCTGTCTTCTCCACGCTGTTTAGCAGAAGGTGCAGCCTGTGAGTTTTTTACTATTTTTTCTTGCTCCGTATAATTTAAAACATGGAGAAAAAGGGCGGAAATCCCACCGGGAAGAAACTTAAAACCATGAAGATGACAGACGGCACCGACCCCGTCAAAAACTTCGAGAAATGGAAGAAAAAATACAACAAGACGAAAGCACACGTGAAGCGAGACAGAGCGGCTCAGAAGAAGCCCGAGTGGAAGGTCGAACGGGAGTACATCGACAAGCTCGTCAGCAGGTACGGCAACATTAACGCCAAGGAGGCGGTCAAGTTCTCAGACTTCCCCATCTCAAAGAAGACCTTGCTAGGTTTGCAGGGGGTTCAGTACAGACAGCCCACGGAGATCCAGAGACAGACCATCGGCTTCGCTCTGCTCGGTAAAGACGTCCTCGGCGCGGCCAAGACCGGCTCCGGGAAGACTTTAGCCTTCCTAATACCGGTGCTGGAGTGTCTGTATCGCCATCAGTGGACCTCCATGGACGGCCTCGGTGCTCTCATCATATCCCCCACCAGAGAGCTCGCCTACCAGACTTTCCAAGTGCTCTGCAAGGTGGGCAAGAACCACGAGTTCTCCGCGGGGCTCATCATCGGCGGGAAGGACCTCGAGAGCGAGTCGGAGAAGATCCACCGCACCAACATAGTCATCTGCACGCCGGGCCGGCTGCTCCAGCACATGGACGAGACGGCCACCTTCCACGCCTCCGACCTCCACATGCTAGTTCTGGACGAGGCGGACCGCATCCTGGACATGGGTTTCGCGGACACGCTCAACGCCATCGTGGAGAACCTGCCCAAGTCACGGCAGACGCTGCTGTTCTCCGCCACGCAGACCAAGTCGGTCAAAGACCTGGCGCGGCTCAGCCTCAAGGACCCGGAGTACGTGTGGGTTCACGAGAAGGCCAAGTTCAGCACGCCGGCCACCCTGGAGCAGAGCTACGTGGTGTGCGAGCTCCACCAGAAGGTCAACATGCTCTACTCCTTCATCAGGAGCCACCTGAGGAAGAAGATCATCGTCTTCTTCGCCTGCTGCAAAGAGGTGCAGTACCTGTTCCGGGTCCTCTGCCGCCTCAGACCCGGCATGCCGATCCTGGCGTTGCACGGCAAGCAGCAGCAGATGAAGAGAGTGGAGGTCTACAACGACTTCCTCCGGAAGCAGAACGCGGTGCTGTTTGCCACCGACATCGCCGCCAGGGGCCTGGACTTCCCCACAGTCAGCTGGGTGCTGCAGTTCGACTGTCCGGAGGACGCGGACACCTACATCCACCGGGTGGGCCGGACCGCCAGGTACAAGGAGGGCGGGGAGGCGCTGCTGCTGCTGCTCCCCTCCGAGGAGGTGGGCATGGTCGGCCAGCTGCAAGAGAAGAAGGTCCCCATCAATAAGATCCAGGTGGGACCTCGTGCATTCACGGCATCACACACCCTCACACACACACACACAGTGGGCAGGAAAGTAGAAAGTCTTTTTCAGCCTACATATTGCATTGTATTATAGACCATTTGACAGTGGTACACATTCCACATGTGTCCCAGTCCTGTCGAGGTGTATGTGAATGACATCCCAAAAGCTGTTGCCTAGCAACGCAATTTGTTGAAAAGGTCTATCTCAGTTTAATGTCTTTAGCATTAAACTGACATTATACAGCATGACGGTGCAAATTAGATCACACACCATACATGAGAAAATAGACCATAATAAAGAATTTGTCTCTAATGTTTCGTTATTTTTTTGTAATCATGCATGTACACAAAGCATTATTTCAATAAAATCTCTTTTGCAGGTAATTTAGTGTACAATAATAGTATACTGAAGTAAGAGCTGTTTAAGGGGTCGCACTGTGTTTTGCAGCATTGATAAATAATATTAGCACATTTTAGCTGCTAGATAACTGAGTGGGGTTTGGTACAAAAGAGAAAAGAATGTTGTCTTATGAGTTTAAGTGGGGGGGGGAAATGGAGCATGAGATACTCACAACATAGGTATCCACTCATCAGAATATTACTCCACAAACTCCTCAGGATGCCTTTAATTGCCATATAAACGTATAGATTTGAGTGCAACAATAAAAGAGCAGCAGACATCTATATTCACTCATTTTGCTCTCTGACTTGTTTCCAGGTGAACCCAGACAAGCAGCAGAATGTCCAGCAGAAGCTGGAGGCCTTTCTGGCCCAGGAGAAGGAGCAGAAGGAGAGGGCTCAGAGGTGCTTCGTCTCATACCTGCGCTCCATCTACCTGATGAAGAACAAGGAGGTGTTCGACGTCTTTAAGCTCCAGATCCAGGAGTACGCCGTTTCTCTGGGCCTCGCCGTGGCTCCGAGGGTGCGCTTCTTGAGCAAAGCTCAGGCACAGAGAGGCAAGAAAGAGGGGCGGAGAGAGGAGGAGCAGTCTGAAGGGGAGGAAGAGCTGAGGAGCTTCAAGGCCCAGCTGAGAGGAAGTGTTCCTCAGGAGGAAAGTCGGAGCTCAGAGTCAGAAGATTTAGGCGATGACGAGGAAAGTGGTAACGAAGGAGAGGGACTGCATCTCGGTACAGATGACGAAAGTGACGACGATCTGAGAGACTTGGACCTGCTGACGGTCAAAAGAAAGGATGTCTTCAACCTGACGGGGGATGCGGAGAGTTCCGAGGAGGTCTCCGAAAAGCCCCCGGAAAAAGAGACAAAGTTCAAAGAAGCCAAAAGGGCGCTTAAGAGAAACTTCCAACTCAACACCAAAGTGGCGTTCAGCGAAGAAGGGCAGGCCGTGCAGCTGTGGCCTCCGGTCCAACGGGCAGTGACCGAAGCAGAGGAGGATGAGGAGGAGGGGGCTTCTGGTATCAACATGGAGAAGGCCAGGGAGAGGCTGAAACGTGAGGACCAGGCGTTCGACAAGCAGGAGTACAGCCGCAAGGTGAAAGCCAAACACAGAGAGCAGCGGCTGAAGGCGAAGATGGCCAGGAGGGAGGCCAGCAAGCAGCACGGACGCAAATCGGATGACGACGAGGAGGACGAGGTGGTGGCGTACCTCGCCAACCACAGCGAAGACGAGTTTGACCCCAGCACTCTGCCGGACCCTGACAAACTGCACTCCGGAGAGGAGATGACTGCAGCCAAACGGCAGCACGGTGACGAGGAGGAGGAGCTCACAGCGGGGAAGAGGAAGAAAGCGAGTCGACAGAACGATGAGCTCAAAGCTCTGGACACCGGTCTCTCTCTGGCTGAGGACGAGCAGTTAGTCCTGCATCTGCTAGGACAGAGCTAGAGCAGACGGGGGATTTATAAACAGTACGAACTCGGTTAATCAAGTTCTAACAACAAAGAAAACAAGAAAACAGAAGTCTCAGAGTGCGAGTTGTGTTCACATTTGAAGAGTGACGAAGTTAAAGGTTTCGTGTTGCACATCCATAACGTCGGAGGACTCTTTAAGAGACGTGTAGTGAAGCATCCGAGGCTGACCTTTAGTCCATAGTATGGGTCAAGTTCCTACAACTCCCACAATGCAACCAGTGCCATCTTTTCAATTAAGCATCCTGAAGACTTGGCTTCAAATCTTTCCGGTCTGTGAAATGAAATATACCCGACTATATAAGCAACAATCAAAAGTTATTTAACATCTTTACAGGTGCAACAGACAGGATTCAGGGCATTTATATATTACATATATATATACAACTATTACTGTAAAGCTGTCTGACTGAGCAGAGGATGGAGTCTCCCTCTGTGTGTAGTGCTTGTGTATCTGCATGTTGGTTAGTGAGCGTGCTGCTCTGCAGCTGATGTCGCCCTTAACGACAGCGTCGTCATGGAAGCGTGGCGCCCCCCCCCTCAGGTATACTGTTGGCTCTGTTTGCACAGTTAGCTGCTAGCCGACAGGCTTAGCACTCACCATATTGAGGCAATATAAAATGCTACCAATCTCGTATATTTAGCACCTTTCAAGTATTACGCTTCACTCTAATGGGCTTCATCAGGACTGTGTTGCTCAGCTTCACCTGAGTTTGTCTACATTCCACAACTCCAACCTTCATTATACCAACATTTGTAAACCCAAGCTAAACATATGAAGTTATTCTATTAAATCATTTGTATTGCTCATGTACGTGTTCAGTTTACTGTTTTGAAATGGGATTTGAGCATTCATTAGAGCTGCCGTCATGTTTTTGTGGACATTTGTAGGATTAGAAGTGATGTAGTTAATGGTGTCATAAGTCAAGAGGTTCAAACCCCACCTCCACTCACCTGACCAATCGCTGCTTAAAGTGGCCGGTCGGCAGTGCGGTCCTCACCAGGGGGGGGTGTCATAAAACTAAATAAATAGATGGTAATATTACATAAATAAAGGAACATGAATGTTTTAGCTATATCACTACTGAAAAAGAGGAGACGGCATGAATGAAGACATTGAAGTGTAGTGCAACAACAAGAGCAGGGTGTGGATGTAGTGGATCAAAGGCCACTTCACCCACTCTGAGCTCAGCTGTGTGTGAACTGAGCTGATGATTCTGAGTGAAATGACGAAAGTAAATTACCAAATTTAAAATGTGATTATGGCCATTCCTTCAACTCAAACTAGCAAACATATTCTGAAAACTAAAAAATAAATTATAATGAACTTCAAAAGTCAAATACAAATAGAAAATTCTCCAGCCGATTAAATGATTCAGACAGTTTTAAGTAAAGTGACTGATCCTGAAGAAAGTAGTAAACATTTTAACATCAACACATTCATTTTTATACTACCCTTTGTTAATGTGCAGCCTGTGGAGTTTCACAATGAAAACGGCTTCTTTTGACCATGTTTCATAGATTGAATGTTATAAAAGCTATGTGACGGCAGAGGCCTGTTGGCAGTTTACAACAAAGCAGATCAATAAATAAACCAGCACAAAGGATGATAAAAGATAATGAAAACACCAGAATGACCAGATGGCCCTACGTCACAAGTGAGTGTTCGGAGTCTTTAGGGAAATTATGTTTTGTGCTCCAAATTTCTTAATTATTTATTTTTTCATCAAAGGTGTTCTTGAAGTTTTGATGTATGATTTGATGATCTGTTCTATTCTCCAGGTTTCTAAAAACCACTAACTATGTGAAGGTTTGCTTTCTGATCCACCCATCAACACATCTCAGTTGTTAGAAAAGTGTCTCTTCCGTTATCATCAAGAGCACAGTCATCAGCTCATCACACAATGTATCCATGAGGACCAGAGCTCCCAGTGGTGTACCTTTAGAGGTGTGAAGCTGTGTGTAGGACACGTGTCTCCTGCAGGTGGCAGTAGAGGGACTCGTACAGGCCTGGTTGCCCTTCCTCTTCCTCAGATATTTCAACGCTCAAAAGTTCCTCCATCTACAGCAGCTATGAACTGAGTAAACTGGAGCCAAAAGTCCCAACAAAAGGAAACGTTTCAAGGTGTAATACTCACTAACTCTGTATTTCTATTTGGACACATTCTGTGTTACTGAAGAAAAGCACACATCGTGACAGTAAATCTAAACACCTCATGCTTTCCATATAGTGTGATAATCAGGCTTCATGCAGGTCTTTCCTCCCAGTCCTATCAGGAGGTCCTGCTCAGGAGGTCCTGCTGTAAATTAAACAACCAAAGACAGCAACAGTCAGGATGTGATAAAGTCCACTTCTTTTAATGGTCAAATAATAAACAGCTCAACATTCAGCTTAGAACTCAACTAATCTTTTTCAACACTGTGCCTAGAACACTTCAGCGCCATCTTTTTAAATCAGAACCAGGAGTGCTTTAGACACCAGCTGATCATCTCTGATCCACACACTGGCAACAAATAGGAGATAATAAACAAAGATATGTGATAGAACTGAAACAAAAGTACAAAAGAAAACCAAAGACCTGCTGCAGATCATTATGAGACCGGTCCAATGGTGACCAGTGAAGGCAGTCAGAGCATGGCTCTGTACAGAGTGAGCGAGTGGCACAGGAAGTGGTCCTGCTCCATACACAGCAGCAGATCCCTCAGCATGACCCGAGTCACTCTCTGAACACCCTGTCTGGGCAGCAGGGTCACCTGACACACACAATACAGGTACACTCAATATTATGCATTCTTATGTCAGAAGTAAGCAGTACTCTTCAGTGAGCTGCTGCCACAGTTACACACAAACAGTTTTTATTTTACGGAAAATGAAAGACTGTTTGCAAATTTCATGACTAACTGCTACGAGCCAAAATGACACTCACACCTCAAACTACATCAGACAAGTTGAATGTCAAAGTCCATTCTTGCCCTAGTATAGGGAACAGCAGTTTGACTTGGTTACCATCTCTTGCCTGGACTTTCAACTAGATCTCACCGTCTCCATCAGCAAATGGGGTTTGCTTAGTCGGCTCACGAAGACTTTTTTGTCTGAAGCAGCTTTTGTGTTTACGTTAATATAATTCTATAAATAAAGAAAATATTCTGTGCTTTGCAGGGCTGCACCAAATAGTTCCACGCTTCATTCACAGCATCGGAATGATGCACAGTAGTTCTGTTTCTTTGCACGTCTATTCATTCTGTTTGAACCTGGTATTTGTGAACCTGACGAGTCAGCTGGTTTGTTGCACAGCACCATCTGAAAATCCATCATTGGAAAAAAGGGCTGGAACCTCCAAAAACAATACCTGGCAGGTGATTGGATGATCCATCTGTCAAACTCTTACGGGGACGGACGGACGGACGGACACACACACACACCATTTGAAGCCTGACTTGATGGATTTGCATGCAATATGTGATCCAAGACCATAAAGGTGAGAGCAGCTTACACTCATTGTGTCCGCCCCTACATGTAATTCTGTTGACGAAACTGACGAGTTCTATTCATTAAAGAAAGCTGCTTTAAACTCATTTAACCCAATGAATCACTTTATTCAAAGAGGATTTCACACTAAAAACCAAAGTCAACCAGGTCCTTGAATTACCATGGACTTAAACAAAGTGATTATAATAAAACAGTGATTATAATAAAACAGAAATTAAAAAAAACTAAATTCATCATTTGATAGATTATCGTGTCACATGCTAAAAGAGTTTCCACTCCAAACACATGTGCCCATCCCTCCTCTATAGTTAGCAGCTGTGAAGAGGTAAAGGAAGCCCTGTGGCTGTTTACAGGAAAGAGCCAGACAGCCGGCTCCTCTGGGTAATGGAGTTCAAAGGCAGTGGGGAGTATGTGTAGTGAACAGAGCGTCCTCGTCTTTAAACCTACAGCCTGCAGGGCTAACACTTAAAACACACAGAATTAAAGACTCAATGAGCTGAACCAACAGTCTCACACATGCTGACTGTGGTGAGCTGCCTGTGTGTGTGCGTTAGCCACGGAGGCTAGCTACAATGACCAACATGCTGCTTTCTGCAGAGCTAGTGTCTCCTCTTGGTGCTTCATGGTTTCTACTGCGTTTATCTTTAATGCTAAATATTCATGAATGTTTGGAGAGGTCATAGCTTAGTTGAACTGCTTTTGTCTTTCATTTTAGAGGACTGATTGAAGGATGAGGAAATAGAAATACTGTAATGTTAAAACAGTGGTCAGTTACCCAAAACAGGCTTCTATTAGAGACTAACCTGTATTCACATCTTCCTGTCTAAGTTCATCTTCTCATACTTTAGTTACAAGCCTCCCTGTTTACCTGTCGTCTTGATCAGTTCAGTAACACAGCTCGTCATAATCACCACTCGGACTTTCTCTTTTTTTAAACAGAAATATTGTTGTCATTCACTAATTCCAAGCATTGCAATTTTTACGTTCAGCGCTTATGTTGATAAAACAACACTTCCTGCACAGGTGTTCATAATGAGCTTGTAATGTTTAATATCAGCTGGAAGTGTGAGTTTACTTGCAGTCCTCCAGAAGGCAATGAATGTATGTTGTTATAGTTCGTATATTGTATTAAATCCGGAGTGACAGAAACAAGAGAACAACTTGCCCCCTGCCTTGTCTTACGTATTGTTGCTCTGCTGTTAGTTCGTAGTGGACTGTACATGTAGACTGGACCCAGCAGTAGAAGTGAAATGCTGCCCCCTATTTCTTTGGAGCAGGTGGCTAGGTATTACACGTTGCACCTGGAAGGTAAATGGGTGCTTCTCTGGTTTGGGTCGGCAGACCAACCTGGCTTTCAGTCTGCTCCAGAGGTCTCTTCTTGCGAGGCCCGATGGCAGCCAGAGCGGTGAGGTTGGCCTCTCTTTGCTGCAGGTGAGCGTCTTCAATTTGTTGTAGCTGAAAAGAGAAGAGAGATCAAGGATTACTGAAAATGTGGTGACTAAAGAGTCAACTTGACCAGCAAGTACCCTTTTTTTCTCAGGATTTGTGCATATGGAGGTGAGTGTTCTTTGTATTATGACGGTTTTCCTAAAATTTGATTTAAAAAAAATTGTAATATATCCCCTTGCTGCTGGTTTACTATTGCAAATATCTCAAACAGTGACCGACTTTACTTAGCACATCTATTCAAGCTTTGAGACTGTGTGTAGCTACAAACTTGGCAAAGCAGTGAGTGTATGGTGCAGTGGTTGAGAGCATGTAAATGAACAGAGATCTCTGGGAGTGGGATGGCTGGGAGCTACACAGCAGCCTGAGAAGGTTTGACAGACTACTTAAATAGCCACATTGCTACCGGTGCCTTTAATCCACACGCGCACCCACACCCACACACACACACACACACACACACACACACACACACACACATACACATACACGAACCATTAGCAGGGACTTCATTAGTCCTTAGACAACACTTCTTTACAGTTTAAATAATAAAATATATATTTGAGTCAACTAGAACTAGCTAGAACACTCCACTGAGAGTAACTTAACGCTTTCTGTTTTAATAATAATAGAAATAATACTTGTAATGTCAATTCTATTCAATTCATTCTGTTAACAAAAACTGAATCAAACATTGCAAGAAAAGAGACTTTCCATCTTAATGACGTGCCGTCAGCGTGACACCACCAGGCTTCCCTCTGAGTGCAGAGCCATCAACTCTTATTGTGGAGGCTTTTATTTTGGAAACAAAAACTAAATAAAATAGTCCAAGCTAAAAAGTTAGATTTTTAGTGTGAACATGACAGCACAGAATTGACCAATCCTAAATTCCACCCCCTCCGTATTTACTGTTGCTAGGTCCGACAATCTTGACAAAAAGAAACATGGCAAGAACCAGAACCAGGACTGCCAGGGTTAGACCCTGCTGCAGTAGAACCAGTGGTTTCTAAAGGGACTGTGGTGCTCAGAAACACTACTGCTTTTTCCACAGGGAACACCAAAATCAACACAAAATGAAAGTTCCTCATAGTAACAGTGACTACATACACTGCAACGTGACCATGAAGATTGTAACACCTATCGATTGTGACTTACATAGTAATGTTACTGCTGAATAGAGATAGCACATCTTAGTCAAACAGGAAAGAGGCAAGTTGGCTGAGGTTCTGCCAAGTCCTAAGATAGTTCAACTATTATTGGAGCACAGAGAGAAAAGGGGTGGGACTTAGAATCAATTGTCATTTCTCTCAGTGTGGTCTTGTGAGACGTATTGGCCGTTTGTTTGAGATATACACTCATATATACACGCATATAGAGTTGTGTGAAAAAGTGTTTGCCCCCTTCCTGATTTCTTATTTTTTTGCATGTTTGTCACACTTAAAAGTTTCAGATCATGAAACAAATTTAAATATTAGACAAAGATAACACAAGTAAACACAAAACGCAGTTTTTAAATGAAGGTTTTTATTATTAAGGGGAAAAAAAAATCCAAACCTACACGGCCCTGTGTGAAAAAGTGATTGCCCCCCCGATGTTAAAACATAAATTAACTGTGGTTTATCACATCTTTGGAAAGCTGAGTTCAATTTCTCTAGCCACACCCAGGCCTGATTACTGCCACAACTGTTCTCAATCAAGAAATCACTTAAATAGGACCTGCCTGACAAAGTGAGGTAGACCAAAAGATCCTCAAAAGCTAGACAACATGCTGCGATCCAAAGAAATTCAGGAACAAATGAGAAACAAAGTAATTGAGATCTATCAGTCTGGAAAAGGTTACAAAGCCATTTCTAAAGCTTTGGGACTCCAGCGAACCACAGTGAGAGCCATTATCCACAAATGGCGAAAACATGGAACAGTGGTGAACCTTCCCAGGAGTGGCCGGCCGACCAAAATTACACCAAGAGCGCAGCGACGACTCATCCAAGAGGTCACAAAAGACCTCAGAACAACATCCAAAGAACTGCAGGCCTCACTTGCCTCAATTAAGGTCAGTGTTCATGACTCCACCATAAGAAAGAGACTGGGCAAAAATGGCCTGCATGGCAGAGTTCCAAGACGAAAACCACTGCTGAGCAAAAAGAACATAAAGGCTCGTCTCAGTTTTGCCAGAAAACATCTTGATGATCCCCAAGACTTTTGGGAAAATACTCTGTGGACTGACGAGACAAAAGTTGAACTGTTTGGAAGGTGCATGTCCCATTACATCTGGCGTAAAAGTAACACGGCATTTCAGAAAAGGAACATCATACCAACAGTAAAATATGGTGGTGGTAGTGTGATGGTCTGGGGCTGTTTTGCTGCTTCAGGACCTGGAAGACTTGCTGTGGTAAATGGAACCATGAATTCTGCTGTCTACCAAAAAATCCTGAAGGAGAATGTCCGGCCATCTGTTCGTGACCTCAAGCTGAAGCGCACTTGGGTTCTGCAGCAGGACAATGATCCAAAACACACCAGCAAGTCCACCTCTGAATGGCTTAAGAAAAACAAAATGAAGACTTTGGAGTGGCCTAGTCAAAGTCCCGACCTGAATCCGATTGAGATGCTGTGGTATGACCTTAAAAAGGCGGTTCATGCTCGAAAACCCTCCAATGTGGCTGAATTACAAAAATTCTGCAAAGATGAGTGGGCCAAAATTCCTCTACAGCGCTGTAAAAGACTCATTGCCAGTTATCGCAAACGCTTGATTGCAGTTGTTGCTGCTAAGGGTGGCCCAACCAGTTATTAGGTTTAGGGGGCAATCACTTTTTCACACAGGGCCATGTAGGTTTGGATTTTTT